CCCCAAAACCCCAAAACCCCAAAACCCCGCAAATAAAAAATATTTTATGAGATGCTAATTATACTGAATATAAATCTATTTATTAGTGCTTTATTTACTGTTTCTCAATATATAAGTCAAGATAAAACGAGATGAAGAAATTCTTCATCAAAATGTACTAGGCAATCTGTGAATATATATCCTGCAAACATCCTGATAGCTAAATTTCCTCCCTGCAATAATTTAAATTTGTATTCTCTTTTCTCAACTTAGTATACTCCATCGCGAAGCTTTTATATTCTAATGTTCCTAAAACATTTCTGTTCCTCAACACACTTATATAAAGCTTAGTCTACTTCATCCATAGCCAATCTAGCAGTTACCATAGATTAGTTTGATTGATCATCCATTTAACTCAAACTCTGTTCCAATAATAGTTTTTATTAAGCTTCATTTTCTTTCTTAAATCCATTGTTTGCACCTGGATTATTGTCAGGACCAATGCTATACTATCTTGTGAATGGAATTCCATTGAAACTCATAATACTGTCTGCTTTTATCTTAAAACCACCAGTATTAGTTGCCACCATACTTTTAGAACCACCCTCTTAGTGCTTAAAGTGAATATAGATTTCATTTAACTCTTGGTTTATCATTTTTACTTGCTTCATAGTGTTAGCTATTTTCTAATCTATTAGCTGGCATTTTTAAACCAATTAAGATGATTCCTCCTCACTCTCAAAGATTCTAGAATATTGCAAAACAGACTCTTAAAACTTGTGGATTATATCTTGATACAAATTCTTGTATGATTATTCTAGTGCTTTCTATGTCTGCTAAGAAGCATTATAATTACTCATTAGTCGATTAAACTATGCCTCTTTGTCCTCAGATTACTTATCATTATTATTTATCTCTAGAGGGCTTCCACTTAAATTGCCCGCCAATGCATTCTTGAAACTTAATCTGATGTTATCATTCGATGAGGATGATGGAATTGTTCCATGAGGTTAAATGTCTTAATAAGCCATCAATAACTATTACCATCTGCCTATTTAATCTTCAACTTTTTTACTTTACTCTTAAATTGCCTCACTGACCCCTTATAATTGTTAAATATTACTCTTAGATGTACTCAGGATTTAATAAATTTCTTATTATAGAACTTTTCTTTGACTTTTTTAGATATTCATTTCTAGTTTTTAGAAGATATACTTTAGATTGGAGACCTATGATAGTATATTGATATATTCTTGCACCTACCACTCTTACTCATCTAGTTCATTGCCCTATATAACAATCATATCTCCTACTTTTTATTAATCTAACCACCTATCAATGTTTGTTTCTATTTCACCTATTTGTTCTAGTAGAATCTTTGATTTTTCTCTCAAAACATTAATTTTAACTTATTATTTATCTTCATTATGGTAACGAACTTACTCATCTATTAAGGTGTGGTTAACAACTGAGAGTTAAGCCTTATTAGATTCGTCCAAAGTAGTAATCAAATTCACCAATTTTTTCTTAATTTTATCAATTTTCTTAGATTATCTCTAGCCAAGAGAGGTAACGTCAATTCTCCAGCCAAGTCCTCCCTTTAAAACATAAAGCTTTTGCACAAAACCATTTTCATCGAATAGATTTTTATGTGCCTCATTATTTTCCTTTTGAATCTGAATTAATTAAATCATTAATACTTCTATTTGGTCAATATCATTCAGCTTTATCTCCTCTAGTTATTCTATCCTCTGGAGCTTTTTACTATTTATTTCTAATTTTTCCTCTATTTTTTTGAGTTGAATTAGACACCTCTAGACACCTTAAAGCTGGCTGACTCCCCCATTTTATTAATCTGACTTAGACTTAATTTAGTTTGCTAATAGTTTTTCACAAAGCTTTTGACTACTGATTACCATTTTCAGTGTACTCTTTACTTCTATTTTGCGTTAAAATACTTATTCGCAAATATCTACCAATGTGTATCCGTTTCCATATTTGTTTTTTAGGTTGCCAGCCATATCATTAATCTTATGTTGTATTATATCAATCTTATTGATTTAGTCTTACGACTCTTTGTAGAAGCTGTCAAGCTCATAAATGTCATAATCATTAATTTCCTCTCTTTTTTGCTTAAATACTTGCAATTTAAGTTGATATTTCTCGAAAGATTTCTCAATTGCTTCCAGCTTTTCCAAATAGCTTGATATTTTCTCTTTCAGCTCAAGTATCTCCTGAAATTCATCATCCTTTTCCTAGTCCTCAAAAGAATCATGGAATATACTGCTGCTTTACCTTCCGAGATCAAAGCTATTATCGTCATTATTCAGTGAGCTATTTATATTAGAGAAATTAGAATCGTTCTAAGTGTTTTCTATAACTAGGCATATCCTCTAGAAAAAGATTATTAACTCCTTTAGAGATTAATCTCTACTTTTAACTTCTCCAATCTTTATATTTTGTTGTTTGAATGACTCCTGAATGTCTTCTCGAAGTTTCTACATTTTTTCATGCTGAATTACAAAGTTCTCCCATTTCAGCATCTAAACCTATGCTTCTTCCTCTGCTCTTCTTAGTTGTTTTACAATGTCTGTTATTGTTCTATAGATGCCGTCAATTAAGTTCTTAGCATCTTAGGAACGATCTAAGTCTGAGGAAGATCCAGTCGACTAATGATGATATTTGCCAATCGGGGTAAGATTGTTATTCGTGGAATAGATATTATCTCGAGATACATCTGTATTCTTTCCTCTCTACAGCTTTTATGATAGTATAATGTCAGCTTATTCCAATCTAATTTTTGCCTGGATTTTCGTTTGTTATATTTACTTAAAGATTGTTTATTACTCCGTTAAAGCTTGCTCAATAGCTTGTATAGTCATCTGTATGTCCTTATTTGTGACCGATTCTTTCTTCGTTTCTATGAGTAGCTACTCAAAATCCTCAATAGTTGTCAGACCGGAGTTAAGTTTAGAATCTAGTATCTTTAAATGAGTGAGTAAATCAGATAATCTTGGATCTCTCATTTAACTAAACGTGAAGTTGTTGTATTAGTTGTTGGATGTCTTTGCATCACAATTGCATATTCCTCCCATTATTAATGTGTGAAAGTGAAAGTTGAATTATAAAGTTTTGTGATTGATTGAATATTGATTGATTATTAATATTAAATGTTCTCATTTTTAACTCTATTATTTCAAATTAATTAATATTTATTCTGATTCTACTATTATCAACAATCTCAGACCTATGGGGTTTTGGGGTTTTGGGGTTTTGGGG